GGAAAGGTATTGGGTGTTGTTGTTTTGTTTGCCTTTGTTAGCTCTCTGTTTTGGGGAGACAAACAGGGGCCACAAAGGGGTCACAATCTTACTACCCTGAGCACAACATATGTCATCTGTTTCTGGAAACTAAGCAAGGTTTAAGCTGTTTAGTACTTGGAGTGGGAAAGAATTCTGCCCAAAGCACTGATTAGACTGTTCCACTTAAAGTTGATAGTTTGGCCTGGTGGTCTGGCTCAATATAATGCATTTTCCTGTGCTGCTGAAGTCTTCTGTGTTCCCAGGACAGGATTGTTAATAGAGGTGCTACAGCATTAGTATAAGGATGGGAGTATACACGCCTCCCATCTCAAATTCTAGGTTCTACCTGTGGAATTGAAAGAAAATGTATCTATTAGATAGCAGGGCCTTTCATATCTTAGGTTTCTTGCTCTTTTTCTGACAGTACGTTTATCTTGCTGTTACGATTTTATTAGCTGTTGCCAGATTGCCTGCTAGGCATATATAAGAATACCAACATGAAAGTAAACACTGCAATTGAATTCAAAGCCCTAAATTTGCAAATCTACCAACATCCAGAATACATTTTAAGGAATTAGTTACAGCATAACCTAGCCCGTAAAGCATGTGCAGCTTATGTCTAACTCAGCTGCAGGACCAAATATTTTAATTATTTTGATTAAGAAAGATTAAATAACCCTTCCAACAATTTTAATAGTAAGTAGTTGATGTTCAAGATATTAATTAGAATATGTTTATTGGCTATAACGTAAAATGACAATAACTATGTGGCAGATTAATAGGCCACAGTGTCCTCTAGTGACAACAAATCATAACAGCCACAACTCAGGTTGTCAAATGCAGTCCTATACATAAGGTATGTTTATAAGGTTCATTTCAGAGCTTATTTTTTGGTGTGGGCTATGTGCTAACTAGTATAAGTTTTAAAATGTTGGTCAATGTCGATATATATCTTTTCTTAGATATGTTGCTACCTGTGCAAAATAAGGCATTGTTAATACCCAGTCAAGCTAACTTTCCATTCCATGTTTTTTTTTATTAAATCAAATAGGAGGAAAACCTCATCTTGTCCACAAATCTATTTATACCTATGTAAACCCTGCTGTTAGCCAGAGTAAATACACACCTTAGGAAGACAGATACAGGGCATGGAAAACAATGATACAATGTTGAATGAAAGGGGTCGTATAGAATGTGACTATTTTGTAACTGCCCTCTATAGTATCTTTGCAGAATATTTTTTTCCGAGTGAGGATTTTGGTTAAATTTTTCATATAGTGTTGGTATGTTTGTAGCAATAAATCTATACATTCTAGTGCAGCATTTTTCTTGATTTAGATACACTGTAAAATTGCCATGCGTGTTCATGGCTACTATTCTATGTTTAAGCCTGATCCTGCACTTTGTTTTCAAAGATGACTAGAAAACCATAAGGTATAACACCATGTGATTATCTGTTATGCAGAATGAGATATCAGATTCAAAAACAAAGAGAAGATTCAGGCCTCCATATTGCAAGTTTGAACTCTTATATATCCATTTTCAAGGAGACTAGAAAGTATAGAAAGCATACTGCAGTGTGTTTACCTCCTTTGAAAACTGGTATATCAGAATGAAACTTGGAAAATTGTATACAGTATCTAGATTGAATCCCCTTGAATTCTGCTTCAGAATATCTGTAAAGCAAAGACTGAAATTAGGCCTTTTGAACTTCTGATTAGTTATCTTCTATTTAACAACAATACTCATTGGAAATATGTTGACCCCTTATATGGTGGCAATAGAAGGCATTTTAGTGTTGCACATGAAATCAGATACTGCTTATTTGTATGTATAGAACTAAAAGAGTGTATCCAGCATAGCAGGAGCACAAAGCTCTTATTTCCTTGCACTGAGCTGCATTTGGAAAATCTAATAAATTTAATTTGCATCACAAAATAATGGCTCATTTGTTCAAAACGGGTACATAATCACATTTCAAGAACTCAAACTCTTCAACAAATAGCATTGTCTGGAATATATTAAAATAAATAGGGAAAATTTCAGATACCAACTCTGTATGCTGAAAACCAGACATATCAAGTAATGTTCTTTGTGTGTCTGCCAGAATATTCACAGTTCATCTTTTCAGACATTTGAAGACATTTGATAGAATATTTTATAGGGTGTTGCTTCGAAGCAATCTTCATTTGTGTCATTGGGAACCTGAGAGTATTTGCACACCATTAACTGCAAATATAATAAAGTGATCATAGCAGGTTTGCAGATGATTCTGTGTGCTAAAGATTCCAATTCTTCCTTCAATATTTTTTCATTTACATTCTTGAGAAACCAAGTATTACCGTAACTGAATTTTTTGATGCTCATTTTATTTTCTTCCTTCATTTAATTGTAGGAGCATAATGCATATAATGTTATCATCATTATTAAGAGCAGCTGAAAAAAAATACACCTGAAGATTTCAGAAACCCATTTAAGTGTCATGGTTTCAGAAGAATTTTAAAATGTCTAAAAATTGAACGTACTTCAACACTGCAGATTAATTTTATTCCTGGAAGAACCAGTTTAGTCCAGAATTAAGACAATCTTTTTAGTTGTTGTGAGTCAGGAGGCGAGAAGGAGGCACCTCTCGCCAGAGCGCCATCCATACCCACAAAGGAAAGAGAGAGAAGGGGATTATGGACTGCCAGCTCCCTCAAAGAATACTTCAGATGATTCCCTCAAGAGGGCCAAGAGAGAAGAAACACCTCAGGGCCTGGGGGGATGGGAGAGCTAAGAAAGCAGCTAGAAAAGGTGGGAAAGGAGGAGGAGGAGGAGGAGGAAAGAGAGAGGAGGGGAATAAGAAGGAAGGGAGGAAGGAAAAATAACAATAGTAGAAGAAGCAGGAGAGGGAGATGAGATAAAGGAGGAAGAGATACTACCACCAGGGTGGGAATGGATCTGGTTAGAAGATCCTTGAACACACAGGTGGGAGAGATTAAAAGTACCTTGGGAAGAAGCAGACCATAGGAGGAGAGTGGTGATTCCCCCAAAACCTTCATACGGAGAATAAACCAAGGTGAGGGAGTGGAGAAGGAGGTTAAAGAGAAGAGAGAGAGAAAGTAGAACAGGAAAGATGAGAGAGGATTGAATGGCGAGCGTGGGAGATGAGGACCAGGAAATCCTGGGAAATCATGGAATCCATGGGAGGAATTTTTGGGAGAAGAGTCTGTGCCCCTGTTGCCTGTGTCGACAGGGATGACAATAAAAGACTGGATACCGGCTGAGCAACCGGGCCTGTGGAATTCGAGTTTTGGAAGCCCGTTTGTTCAGGAAGAGTGGAAAGCTTTTTCAGCCGCTCAGTTGGAAGGAAAGGAGAAAGACTATGTTTCAGTTGAAGAAAATGGTTTATTTGATAGTTTTAAAATAAATATTCAACTGTTGCAATCACAGTTGATGTTTGTGTTTGGAGATTTGGGAATGCAAGAGAAAAGGAAACAACTCAAGATTCAACCCAAACCCTCACAATTGTCTCTAGGGCTGGAAATAATTATTTAGTCTGATAGTCTAATCTCAGCCATATTGTTATTTCATTACTATTTACTGCAAACATGCTTGCAGAAAATAGTTTTCTTTTGTAATCCCAATGTTTTTGTGAGTGACTGACATACTGGCATACTAGCATGATGAAGAAGCATCATCGGATAGGAATTGTACTGATTGTTACTAATCTTTTGAGGTAAATCCAGTATTGTACTAGCAGAAGCCCACTAATCCAACAAGACATATTACCCTTGTCTTCCCTTTCTCAGCCCTCTAAGCTGCCTGGGTTTTCTCACCAGTTTTGAACAGATTTTGTGAGTGTGCAAAAAAGAGGAGGGCTTACCCTGTCACAATTTATCTGACAGAAGCAGCTCTATCAGTGGGCTGATACCATTGGTTCTAATAATAGGATAAGAATAGCACAACATCTATTTTGAAATAGAACTGTAACAGATATTCAGCAATATTTTTTCCATCCTGGTAATTTTGGACATTTTGCCTCCATGGGGAGTCCCTCTGGATTCCCACAGAAATTAGGAAATTTCCAGGAGCTGCAGTGGAAAGAAATGCAGAACATTGGGTTTTTGTCCATATCATGGCAAGATTACATTTGACAGTCCTGTGCTGCTTGGGGTATTGCCCTCTGTGGGATTTTTGTATCCCTTTGTTATTCTTTTTTTGTTTCAGGCTCTTGAACTGGTCAGTTTGAAATTATTGTTGATCAGCCCAGTATGGAATGGTACATAACCATTTGAAACTGGCCACAGTAAGGCAAGAAGAACAAAGAGCCACAAGAATCCAGCAGAAGGTAACACTTGAGTCACCAACAGTGCAGGACTGTCAAATCTAATCTTGCACAGCAAATAATTGATGGCAAAATGTTTCTGTTTTGAACCTGAAGGGCAGAGTAGACAGATAATATAATCATACATTCAAAATGCTATGTAATGTAATACAATAATATAGCAAAGAACTAAATCCCACAATCCAAGAAGAACTAGAAAAATAAGACCTAGAATTATTACCTGAGTAGCTTTGCTTCTGGAAAACGGGGATCATCGCAGCCTTCATTGTTTATGATTCCATCCTTAATAATCAAGTAGTGTTCAGGCAATCTGATTAAGCATTCTTTGCTTGCACAGCAGTAAGTAAGAATTATCTAGGTGCTATTAGGAAATTTTGTGGAGAATTTCTATGGTCTCTAAAGAACTATGCACAAGATTGCATGGGAAACTACTGAAGACATGGCTGGCCAGGAAATCATGAAAGATACCTTATATATGAGTAGAATGTTCTGCTTCTAACTGTGAACTTATTCCTGCTTCTTAAGAACATTTTTCTGTCCTGAATATAATGTCAATAGAAATATACTGTTTTAATGTTGCTTTCATAAATCCTCTGTCACAATTTGCTCTTTTTTTGGTAAGATAACTGTTGCTTTCAATGTCTTTCTCTAGTCGATTACTGACATGGAGAGATATACAGCATATCATCGTAAAAACTTCACGGGCAGGACATTTGATTGCTAATGACTGGAAAACCAATGCTGCTGGTTACAAGGGTGAGTTTATCCTTTCCTATTAATTACTATGGGCTTTTCCTTCATTCATTCCTTCCTTCCTTCCTTCCTTGAAGAAAAATCTTTAGATGTTTGACTGTCAGCTATTCCTTCCTTCCTTCCTTCCTTGATGAAAAATCTTTAGATGCTTCGACTGCCAGCTCGAGTATGTGCAGCTTCTCTCTCTTTCCATTAATGAAATAAAGGAAGCCACAAGGTCAGACTTTTAGGAATTCTAGTTTACAGTGGCTTTGTAAGTAATTTGTGTAGAGCTGCACTATAGATAAAATCAAAGAGGCCTCATAGGAATGGTTGATTATTGGAAGCTAACATGTCTTAAGCCAATTCCTATGCTGAAATATGAATTTAAAGTCTGATGCTTGAAAGCGTGTTTTACAGCATTATGACATGTTAAAACTTAGGAACCCATACAGAAAGGCTTGTACTTAACATTGGTGAGACTTACTTCTGTTTGGTCAGCTCATTCAGATAGGGGTAAGGATTAGAGATGGGCATGAATCATAGAAATGGTGATTCATTTTGATTTATGATTTGTCAAGGTTGACGAATCGCAAATAATGAATTTATGATTTTTTCTTGATGAATAAATCAATCAATGAATTAAATTTGCCTTTAAAACCTTATAAAATGGCCCTCCAAGCACCTAGAGACACCAAAATTGCTGAAACGCTTGCCCTGACTCTCTACAAGCCCTGCAGTTTGGTGGAGTTTGGGTTTCAGAAATCAGTTATGCACCCACAAAGTGTCATCCCCCCCAAAAGTGCCCTTTAGCATCACACTTGGGGAAACCCAATCTTCACCAAACTTGGAGGAACTGTAGAGGAGAGTCAGCAGAAGCATTTCTGTGATTTTGGTGTCTCTAGGTGCCCGGGGCAGGACCTTCCTGGGGTGCCCTCTTTGAGGATTTATAACTCAGACATCCAAAATTCAATCTTCCCCAAATATGGAGGGATTGTAGAAGAGAGTTGGGGAAGCTTCCCTGCAATTTTGGTGTCTCTAGATGCCAGGGGGGGATTATATAGCCAAATGAATCAACAAATTAAAAATCACTAAAACATCATTGATGCGTATTCATTGGGGCATTGATTTGTACAATGGCGTCCTGTCCCTTGAGCACTGCCTGGATATCATGCTGGGGTGGATGAGGGATAATAGACTGAGGCCCAGACAAGATGGAGGACCCCTAGTGTATTCAGTTTGGGTGCTCCCGTTCCCTTGGAGGGGGGCTAATCTCTTCTTTAAGGATGAGGTTCTCCATCTTGGCACACTTTTGGACCCAGGGCTATCAGTGGAGTCTCAGGTAACATCTATGATCCATTACATCTGTTTCCATCTGAGGTGGATCAACAAGCTGTGTCCCTACCTTAACACTGGGTCCCTCGCCATGTTGGTCCATGCATTGATAGTCTCAAGATTAAAATACTGCAATGCTGTTTACATGCAGCCGCCCATGAGGCGGCTACAGAAACTTCAGCAGGTCCAGAATATAGCAGCCAGATTATTGAGTGCATGAAGAAACACCGTTGTATCTCCTCTACCTTGATTGCTTTGCACTGGCTACCTGTTTGTCTCATGGCAGCTTCAATGTGATGATGTTGACATACAAGTCCCTAAACAGTTTGGAACCTAGATACCTGGCAGAATGTCTCCTTCCAGTGAGATCTGCCTGACCTACCCTATCTTCCCAGGCTGGGCTGTTGAGATCATTGACCCTGAAAGAGGCCCAGAAAGAGGAGGCCAGAAACTGCATCTTCTCAGCAGTCACCCCCCACTCCCCCTGAAATGTGCCTGGCCCCTTCACTGGGAATTTACAAACAATCCTTGAAAACATGGGTATTTAGATAGGCTTTCCTGCATATCACATCATTATAATGCAGGGGGTTTTCAGCGCTTATATTATCTGCTCCACCACCTTGCCATTTTAAATTTGTTTTAGTTATTTTGATGTTTGTGTGTCTGCGTGTATGTGGCCCAGTAAGTTTAATTTTGGTTTTTTGTATAGTTATTATGTTTAGTGCCTTTTAGAGTGTTGTCTGTTTTGTGTTATGAACTGCCCAAAGTGGCCTTGGTAGCCAGATAAGTGGTATAGAAGTTGAATAATTAATTAAATAAATCATAAATATTTATGTCATTGATACATTTGAAGTATAATATATACTGCAATTGCTACACATTGAAATAATAATGCATTAATTTGAGAAGGAAATATTTAGAGAGAGAGAGAGAAAGTTACAACTAGAGTTCTTTGAGTGGGTTAGATAGTTTCTATAATAGATTTTAGAAAAAGTACATCACAAAGACAAGATATGAAGTTCCAGCATGCTAGGTTTGCTGCCTTGAGTCCTTTTAAGGAGAAAGGCGGGGTAAAAATATTTTAAATAAATAAATCATGTTTGACCAAGAAACCATTGAATAATTTAACTATGTTTTCTGAATTCTCATTTGTTTTATTTCTGTTACAGTGGAAAGATTCCAGTGTTGTAAAAGCAGTAGTCTCATTGTGTGATAGGGTTTTCTTTTCTTTTTTTTTTCTTTTTTTTTTTTTGGTCACCCATCTGGTCTCATCCCCCAACCCCCCATATTTCAGAGGGTCCCTTCATGGAGGCATTTCTGCCAGCAACAGGACTTAATTGGATTCCATGCTATGTTGTTTTGATTTATTCCTTGTGGCATTACTGGGGGGGACAGCAAGTGTTGGTACGTTGGAGTACCCATCTCTTGAGCCAAGGAGTTGAAGTGCAGATTCCCCCCGTGTCTCTCAGGAGAGGGCCCTGCCTGCTCTGCCACCTGTGCAGTCTTGAGCAAGCTGCATAGTCATTCAGTGCTCCCAGAAAGAGTCCCTTGGTACCACCAGAAATTACTTCAAGCTACTTTATAAGATCTTGAGTCACATAAGGTGAAATCAGTTTTACAGCACATTATTAATATTGTTGTCAGCACTTCTCAGCAAACTGAACAGATGTTATACTGTTTGATGATTTGAGGCAAAGTTAGGGTTGCTAGTTTGTCACCTGAAAATATTGCTTCAATTTTTAAAAATTAATCAGATATTTTCCCTTTCTGATGGAGGCAAACTTCATGCCTTAGCAGACAAAAGAGGAGCGTGGGTAAAAAGACCAATACAGTGGTGCCCTGCATAGCGACGATAATCCGTGCAGCAAAAATTGTCGCTATACGGATTCGTTGCTATGCGAAATTAAAAAGCCCATAGGAATGCATTGAAACCCCTTCAATGCGTTCCTATGGGCTCAAAACTTAACATTTAAGCGAAAATCCTCCATATGGCGGCCATTTTATCTGCCCGGTAAGCAAGGAATCCATCCCTGTTTTACCCGGCAGCCATTTTGGAACCGCCAATCAGCTGGGGGAAAACATCACTATGAGAAAATCGGTAAGCGAAACAGCTTACCGATCATCGCAAAGCAATTTTTCCCCATAGGAAACATCGTTATGCAAACGCAAAAGCGATCGCAAAAACATTGTCGCTATGCGGATTCGTCGTTAAATGGGGCACCTGTTATGCAAGGCACCACTGTATGGGGAAAGTAGGAGTAGTGAAGTAGTTCAAGGTCTTACTGTCATTTTTTTAAAAGGTAATCCTTTGCTTTTGGTTAACATTGTGGTGACTTTAGACAAGTTAATTTTACAGAGGTGACTGTTGAGCCAAGAGGTTGGAATTCAAATTCTCTTTGTGTCTCCCAGGAGAGGAATGTTTTAAGGACAGATCTGAATATGTATGGTCAGAATTAATTTGTCTGCTCTTACGTCATTACTGCTTTACATTTTTATCTGGCTAGCATAAGTAGAAAAGTATATATGTAAGTATGTCCTATGGCTTTTCAGGAGGAAAATACTGATTAGTCAAAAAGGTGTTATCACATTACTTGGGATCTTAGACTTCATGTAAATATGGCATAAAGTCTAAGGACATATTGTTATATGTAAATCATAAAGACTTCAAATGCCTTTTAAAATTTTGTGCCAGAGGAAGAGTAATTCCTGCAGTTTGTTCAATTGTATCATACAATAGTTGTCAAATGGAAATGAGTAGGACCTTTGATACATTGCAGTATCTGTATACAGTTGTTCAGTAGTTCCATTTTTTAAAGCTCATTTTATTATCTATGCACTATAAGTCAATAGCTCATCTTATAGGATTCTACACACATACACCCCAACCTGCTTAAAGTCACAAATGAAGGGATATCAGGAAGTTGATGTGACCTTACAAAATTGTTATAAATATTCTCCTGTTGGAACTGGAAGAGAGATAAAATGGCGTTTACTGTTGAGGAATCAACTTTGCCCTAAATAAAATGAATAGCTTTAAGTAAATTATTTTGGCAACGTAAACTGAGCAAATGGTTCCAATAAACAGTAAAATCTTTTTAAATCTCCTGTTAGTTTTGGATGAAGGAAAAGCAAATGATTTAGATTAAATAACCAGCATCCAACTTTGGAGCTTGATACATTGGGGGGGGGAGAGTTTGTATGTTGCTGCTGGCAAGAATAGAACAGTATTTTACTGTTGCACGTGGCAATATTTAGTTTAGTATTTCACTGTTGTCCTCAGCTGTAGCCAGAAATAGCAACTAAAGGACTGTGTTTTATAGAATGAATTACTCAGATCAGAATGAATCCCATGTGGAAATGTACTATCATTCTCTCATTGGCTGAAACATATCTCTTCCACAACAATTTCATAGCAAGGTGTAAATGAGAAACAAAGAAGACTTCTACAATGGACTATGGCCACCATCTTATCCATGCTCTCCCAGTAAACATGCTTAATTCTGTGTTATAAAACAAATTGAAGCACAGCATGAGGATATTTGAAGGATAGGTAAATTCTGGGAGGGAAGTGGGAACCTGTTCCTTTTGAAAATGGAAATAAGAGGAAGAAAATAGCAAAACCTGAAGGAGTTTCTTGCTCCACAAAGAGTCAGTGAAAGCTGGCACTCAAAAGTGGGTCAAAATGCCTT